GAAGGAGATACAAGATACAAGAAACACTGAACATAGGACAATGGTGCCTCAGCCCCCTCCAAAGCAGGCACCTCGGTACATCACATAGTTCTCTCAATGGGCAACAGTTGCCCTGTTGTATTTTTCTGAATGTCATGGATGGTCTGAAATCTCTTCCCTGTCAAAGGCGATTTTAGCTTTGGAAAAAGCCAGAAGTCACAGGGCACCAAATCTGGGCTGTAGTGGGGCTGAGTCACCTGGGTGATTTGATGTTTTGCTAAATAAACTCTGCACGAGACATGATGCATGAGCGGGTGCATTGTCATGATGAAGTTGCCAATCACCAGTTGCCCATAGCAGTGCCTTCTGAATCATCTGAATAGTTTCTGTGGAGGAATATTCAAGCTTAATGCAAAATTTGATGCAGATTCATTGCTCTATTTGCTCATTTTGCATGTGAGCACACAGTACACATGCTCACTCAACAGTGTCTACCGCCCCACTGACTCACACAGTAGGGTTGTCATTGTTCATGTATGTGCAGTCCAGTCTACTCTCATTGGCTACCAGGTTACATTGATGTTGTGCAAATTGTTCCCATTATACTAACAATGGTAGGACTTTTTCCAGACATACTTCATATGCCTGTACTGTTTACAGTCTGTAGTTAGGAGTTTGTAAATGCCGACAGCTGACTGTGTGCATTGGTCTGTAACATTTTAAATAGAGGACTATGATATCCATGGGAGTCCTACATCCAATTCCTTATGGATGCTAAGGGACAATTTAAGTTTCTAGGGAGTCAAAACTTGTATGTGAATTTTTGGTTGTGTGTGCGTCAGTGTTCCTAACCCCAGGACTGGTGAAGGGTCAACTGTATATGGAATTTATAATAACACCTTAGTATCACATTAACAGAAATACCTATGTTCAACATTGGTCATAACCATGTAACTATAATTATGGTCTAGTTTACTCAATTTTAAACTGTATTTCATGCTTCAGGTATCTATTTCTGCACTTCAATAAAAGGCAAATTTACATTAAAAAATAAATAAGTATTACCTTCCCGAGGAGATGTGTATTTTAATAGAAAACAAAGTAATCAATTAAAGTGACAAATTCCAAACTCTGGCATTCTAGGACTCATGGTATTTGAACCATTTATGAGGGTAGTAGCACCGAAATCAACCTACATACTAGGATAACATTGTAGCTTTTGTATTGATTATATACACATGTGTGTGCATGAGTGCGCATGCATGTGTATATGACCCAAATATACATATTTGGGTCATTTACCAATAATGCACTTCTTAGATTCACTATGCCCTTTGCCAGAGCCTTTACAGCATTAACAAGTTTTAACTTAATTGACCTTTACTTGGTGTTAGTAACATCCTCTCACACTGATTCTCCAGCAGTAAAAGAACAATAAAAGTTATTCAACAGGACAGCTTGCTTCACTTTTGTAGTTTGTGTTCCAATGTCCCTATCCCTAAACCTAATGGTGTATCTATTTATTCCTAACAACATAACCCATCATTGATATATTCATTTTATTTGTATTTTTAAATATTAAGCCTGGCATATCTTTTAAAGAAAAATTCAACTTGTAATTGCAAAGTCTAATAGGTGCTGGGAACTTCATTCAGGAATTTCTGTCTGCTGCCAAAAAAACTTTCCGTTCTGTTAACATATACTTTCGATTTTGTATTAGAAATGAACCAGTCTTCTTGTTACATTTTTCTACTCTTAGTAGATTCTTTCCTCAAATAACTTAAATTTCATAGATTTCATAGATAGCTCAATAGTGATATAAAGTAAAAACCATGATACCTGCCATCAAAGTTTAATATAAGTTTATTATACCTCACTGATTTGCTTATTTAGTGATTAAGGACAAAGTTCTGAAAATAGCATTGATCTAATATGGAGGATGGAGAAGTACCACCATCTTTTTATGGGAAATTATTTCATGAAACATTAATTGAATTATAATTACTACATCTTACCATTACGATTTTCTTTTCCCCTTAGGGACTTCATTTCTAATGGAACTGAAGTAGAAATGCTTTGTAAACCTTAACTAGTTCAAGTCAATTTCATAAACATGGAGCACCCATTATGTGTAAGACACCATGAAATGCCCAACAAGGAATTAAAAGGTAATAAGACAAAATTCCTGCAGCCAAAGAATTTACCATCTACCAGAGAGAACAAGAAAAGTGCAAAACTAATAAAACACTGGGCTGAGAGGAGTTATTTGACTAAATACAAAAAAAGGATGTTCTTTATACCCAAACACACCTGCTTTTGTACTCAGCTAATAATCAGTAATAGTGCAACTCTACACAAAATATGTAAAATTTTTTTTAAAATTTCTCTTCCTCAAAATAAAGATGTCAGTAATTGCCTAAAAATCTCATTGCAAGGTGTTTTTTTTTGGGGGGGGTAGATGTACAGTGCCCACAAACAGTAGATGTCCTAGCTCAATTTCCCTGAAAGAGACTCTGAAATGGAAAATTCCACCCAGGAAATTTATTATGGTGTGCTCTCAGAACTGACAGCTGTGGGGGCGTGGAGGAAGCAGGACTGAACACAGGGAGAAGGTGAGCTAGCAAGCAGTTTTCGACAGAGATGTTGGCTAATTGCACAGGGAGCTCTGGAGCTAGATGGTTCTGTAGTATTCCTTCATATTGGGGCAGGAAACGGAGGCCTTCTGAGCCTTAAAACTACAGTCATTGGATGCAGACTACAGCTGGAAGTGGCCAGCCTCCAGTACCTCCAGCAGCAGGGGAATGAAAGCTTAGGTCCTAATAGATGAGGTAGTGGGAAGAAAGGAGGAAAAATCTGGGCAGCATACCACACAGTCCATTTTAAATGTTAGCATCAACTTTTCTATCACTTAAAAAAATTATAAATAGAATGCATGTGCAAAATACCTTGGAAATTTAAAAGTAATTATACGTACTACAATCCCACACCATCCTTGTTAACATTTTGGTATAAATCTTTCTATTATTTTCTAAGCATATTTATTTTCCTCTGAAATAATAGAAAAATTGTTTTGTGACCTGCTTTTTCATATTTTGAGTATTTTCTTTTGTTAATCAACATTCTTTTACAAGATTATTTTGTGTTTATTGCCTTCCATTATACAGACATTCCTAAATTTACTGAAAACTATATTATTGAATACTTCAGGTTTCACAATGTTTTTACTTTTATAACACAATACTATAATGAATAGTACTATACATATTATTTCTATTTCCCTAGGAAAAATTCAGAGCAATGGTAACTATTATGCCATACTCTTTACATTTTTTCTTCTTTTTTAATTTTATTAAACTTATTGGGGTAAAATTGGTTAATAAGATTATTATAATACCTTTCAAGTATGTAATTCTGTACACTCGCCATCACTTACGTCACCATCATGTCACCATTTATCCCCCCTTTGCCCTCTTCTACTGTTCTCCATTCCTCTTTCCCTCTGGTAACCACCACACAGCTGTCTGTGAGTTTTTCTGCTTGTTTAGTTGTTACTTTCTATTTTATACCCAATACATATTTGTATTTTTACAGTCCCATCCAATACATTTGGCCAAATTATCCTTTGAAAATTCCTACCGACAATGTCTGAGACTTCCTTTTCCCACACCCTCACCAAAATTGGAAATTATCATTCCTCTTAATGGGTGCTAGTTTAAAAGACATATTTTATTATTAATATATACAAATGCAAGAAGAGTGGCAGAAATCAAATAGTATCCATGAAGATTTAAAAGTGGAAGAAATTATTTCAAATCGGGAGGGAATGAGAACCAAGGAAAGGATATGGGCCAAAGCAATAGAGAGCATTTCCATGAATAAAAATGGAAGAGATCCAAGACAGAGGAAACAAAGACAAGATGAGGAAATAGTGAATACCCCAGTTTGATCAGATTATAGGAGAGAACTAAAAGGAGACCATATGTGGCACGAAAATGGTAAATAGAGTTCAAATTTGTCTGACATTAATTATCTGACACTGGTGTTAATGACAATTTGGAAACTATGATGAGAGTCACTCATTTGTTCAAGAAGCCTTTATTCATCACGTACCAGATGCCAAGTCCTTACATCACTGGTGAAAGTACACAGAAACCCTGCCATTCTGGAGCACGCAGGCAGAAAGCACATAGGAAGAGAAGGGCATAATAAGAAAAAATTACAAAAAGGAAGAATAAAGAGCCAAAGGGTGTGTAATTAAAAGGACAGTCAGGAGACTGACATGCCATGGACACCAGTGGAGGGATGTTGACATGGTGGTCAATGGAGAGAAACTGAGGATGATAAAAACTATAAAAAAATGATTGGATTTGGCAATTCGGGGGTAATTGGTAACATTTGAAAGGGTGGATTTTTACAGTGATGGTGAAAGAAGCCAAACTGCATGGAAATCAGGTAAATGGTGTGGAAATGGGGGAAATTAGAATCTCCAAACTGGTCATTGAAAAAACAATGGACAGTTTAGGGAATTAGGGTAGCAGGATGAGATCAGTAGAGTGGACCAATGTTAAAGAAAGGGCTTTTCCAATTAAATCTTAAATAAATATCTAGAAATAAAATTTAAAATATCAACAAAAAAGACTGTTAAAAAGTTTCGTGAAGTCAATTAAATAGCCTTCCTGATGAGCATGAAAAAAGACCTGAGTAAGCATAGAGGTTACCATGTGCCTGAACGAGAAGAACCACCAATGGGGGGAAGGGGCGAAGGGTGGAAGTGAAAGAGGGTATGAGGGATAAATAGTGATGGGAGAAAATTATATAAATTAAATAAATAAATCGATTGTTTTCTCTGAACTAAAATATTTATTCAATACAATACCAAATAAAAAAACCCAACAAGATTTTTCATGGCTCTCCATGAGTCAGTTCTAAATGTCACACAATGAGGGGGGTGAGTGGAAGTGGAAGGTGTAGGGGGAAAAAATACAGTAAATAATATAATAAATAAATAGATACATACATACCCATACTAGAAGCACACAGATGCTCCTACGAGGACTGCTGCTTATCAAACTTAAACATCAGAGATACTCCAAATGTCCATCACAGGAGGTTATTTAAGTGAATTATGCTATAACACCTGAGTAGAATAATACGTAACCATTAAAATGATACTACAAAAAAAAGAATGTCAGAGACTATGTCACAACATGGGAAAACCTTAAAATGTTAGCTGATTACAAAATAAGATACTAAATTGTAAGGACACCATTATTCTATTAGTGAGACATGTATCTGAAAAGAAATAAATTAATAATTGAATTTTTAAAAACCACACAATGAGTAAACTTCAAGAAAACACAAATTGTTTGAAACAAGTAAATCAAGGGATTTGTTCTACCAGGTATCAAAACATATAAGCAATAGTGTGGTAGTGGTGCAATATTAGATAAAATGGCCAAACAGAATAAACTCATACATATGTATAAGTAGTATTGACATATGAAAGGGGTAGCATTTCAAGGAAATAGTGAAATATGGACTGTTACTAAAGGTAAAATTAAAACTAGATACCTAATTATATCACACAAAATTAATTTCAGAAAGTACAAAAAACAGAACAAAAACTTTTAAAACTTTTAAAAGCATTAATCTAGTACTATCAGTTCATGACGTCAGGCTAGGAAAGACCTTGTTAAATAGGACAAAAAAACCCCAAAATGGTAGTGTAAAATATGTATAACCTTGATTATATTAAAATGTCAAAAGACAACTTATATATAATTGAAACACAAGTAGTAGATTATAATAAAAAATTATTCTATAAAATAAAAAATGAAGAATTAGCACCTATAATGTATAAAATTCCTGGCAATCACTGAGAAAAGACAAATAGCAATGAGACTGACAGTCGGTTTATACAAATAACAGAAAAAAACAAACATAAAAATATGATTATCTCCACTGGTATAGTAATGGTGAAAAATAATATACTAATTGAAAAAGTGATATATTAGTTTTTACACAATAGATTACCCAAAATTTAAAATAATTTAAAATGTCGGAAATGGATGAGATCAAATCTAAGCACAGACCTCTTTGATGCCCAAGTTCCTATTCTTCACTGCTTATTTCTCTAATACAATAAAGTTTTCACTGAAAAAGAACAATGGGCCAGATAGTGGTTCCCAGATCAACAGCATCAGTATCATTTAGAACTTAATAGATCTGAATTTTTTTTTTTAGAGAGAGAGGGGAAGAGTGAGAGAGAGAGACACTGATTATTCCACTTACTTATGCATTCACTGGTTGTTTCTTGTACATTCCCTGATGAAACATTCTACCTACAACCTTAGTATATTGAGATGACACCCTAACCAACTGAGCTACCCAACCAGGGACTAGAACTGAATTCTTAAACCTAATGAGATAAAGAGATATAATGAAAACGTCGGTAGTGTATATGGTAGATCCTGGTCAATTTCCAACTAGAAGCAAGAAATGACTGTGTCACATAGAAAAGTAGCACTATCCTTTCTCATCAGTGGGTTAATGATGGACACTGCAATGTGCAAAAATTCACCAAATGGCACAGTTTTAGGGAAAATTCTTTAAAATCCAAATTGGACGCTGTGAATTTGTAAAGAACTTTTTCAAAAGCAGAACCACCACACACCCTCTCCCCCTGAAGACTATGGAGACGAGCTGCCAACGTTCACCAATAAATGGTGTGTGTAAAGACTGCAAGATCAACCCCGGAATTAAAAACCAAATAAACAAAACTCTACAGGTCATTCTGAAAAGGGCTGCACTATTCCCCAGACAGAAATGAGGCTACAGGCTGGTCTTTCAAAAGAGCCACAAATTCTCTGTCTCAAATGGGAAATAGTAATTTTATTGAATAATAATTTAAAGTGAATCCACTTTCTCCTTATAACTTAGTGAGTACTTAGGATGTGCTCTTTGTAGCCAGAGTGCAATTCTTCAGCAAATGAGTGAGAACAGTGTGTGTGAATCTGTGTGTAGAATTATCTACAATGAAAGTGTGAGAACAAAGTAAAAAATACTTCAAGAAATTTAATTTTTGAATAAAAAACAAACGAATGCCCTTCAGGGTTTCAAATACATTGGTGGCATTGGCATTGCCCCGTAAGATTTTAGTCTCTATGAGCAAAGGTGTACAGGGTAGCTTTGTGTTACCTCTCTATCCCTACTCACAAGGGGAAAATATAAATACATTTATAAATATCAGTTTAATATTTTATTACTTTTAGCCAAAGAGCATTTGAAGACTTATAAAGAATCAATGTCATATGATTATTTAAGTAAGAATCAAGAGGGAGCAAAGTTTAATGGGAAATGCATTATTTTAAGCATTACCTCAGGAGATAATATTTAAAATGTATTTAATAACAAAGATTTATAACAGAAACAAGCCATTATGCTATTGACTTGACATACAAAATTTTCATTCTTATTTTCAAAGGAGTTAGGATGGATTAGGGCTTTGATAGTCAGACACAGTTCCTATCGCACAATAAATAACATCTTTTCTGCTTTAGTTTCACGTGCATGCTAATGTTATTCACTCTCATGAATCTGTTGGTTTGTTCCAAATACATGTAGAAGACTAAAATCCATATACTTAAGTTTTGCCTGAAGACTTTATATATACATAATATTTAAAAGGAAGAGTCTAGAGATACCATCTGTGAACTGTCATCTATGAAGGGGATTTAGAACAAAGTAAATTGCCTGGGGCTCTGGAGTAATTTATGTAAGACTGGAGCTCTGTGTCCCCTGAATATTTGGTAGAGGGTGTTTATGTAACTATATGGATGTGTGTGTTTTCTGGTGGGGAGGATTATAACAACAGCTATTACAAATAATCCCTGAATTTCCATTGCTTTCACACAGAAGGGGTTTTTTTTGTTTTCTCATTCACCATTCATGTAGTAGTTGGATATTGTTCTAGTGGCTCTCCTGTGTGGTGCTCCACCAGCATTTCCTATTGCATGGCTCCATCTAAAATTTCTTTACCTTCAGCTGCAAGTGAAAGAATTTAGGTCTGTCTTTATAAAGCTTTATAAAAACAAATGAGTTGGTGGATAGAATCCTAAGAAAGATTTTGTGGGACAGTCCTATAAGTGGTACACTCATTTTTGGTTCTCATTCCACTATCAAGCATGAGACTTATGGCTTCAACCTAACTGGAAGGTGTATTTCTAGGAGAAGGATGCAGCCCTGGTCAGCATCCAGCCAGAGTCTGTCATATAACTGATTTCTGTTTCCATAATATTTAAACTTCTACTCATGTCTTGTTTCTTCTTGAGTCATTGTTGTAACCTGTTATCTTTCTAAGGATCTTTTCCCCCAGTTTTTAAAATACATGGCCATAAAGCTGTTTTTACTATTATATCATGAGGGTAAATCTTTGCTGTTTCTATAGTTATGTTGTTTTCATTTCAGTATTGTTTATTTTTGCCTTTTATTTCCTTCCTCACATTTATGATAGCTTTGTCCATTTTGTCAGTATTTCCTATAAGAATCCTGGTTTTGTTTTCCCCTTCTTTGTTACAGACTGAATTCGTCTCCTTCTAATCTTAATTAATTCTTTCAACTTCCCCAGGGTAATTTCCATTATTCTTTTAAAAAATTTCCTAATTTGAATATTTACCTCTTTAATATTCAGCCTTTCTATTTTTCAAACGCAAGCATTTAATGCTTTAGATTTCTGTCAAATTTCAATAGTGAGTGTCTGTAACAGTGTAGTTTTAAATGTTTATTAGATTCCATTATGATTTATTCCTTAATTCACAAACTATGAATTTTCAAATCTTAATTTCTAAATGATAGTTTTATTTAAGCTGTCTTACTGACTACTAATTAAATTATTGGTAATCAGGCTCTATAGTATTTCATATTTATTACAATCTACTTATGAACGTATGAGTAACTAACACTATAAATGTTTAATGTGTGGTTGAGAATAATGTGTTCTCTTATTTGGCTGTTGGCTTTTCTCTATGTACGGGGTCCAGCAGAAGTAAGGCCTCTTGAGTGCAGTTGGCAGGGTAATAATACAGATGCAATAATTTATAGTTTTAATTTGAACATTTTACCTAAAATGTCATATGATATGTTTGAGTGTGATATTGTTATGTTACAGAATTACATGCTTATGGTTTTGTAATAAAAGATTTTGTAATAAAATAGGGATATTATTTGTGCCAAACCCTGTATATTAGATCATCCTTGTTAATTATGTCATTCAAGTTACTTAATTTTTATACTTAAATTATCAGTCACTAAGATATGTTAAAACTCATTAGTATGATGATAAACTTATCAATTTGTCTTTGAAATATGTCAAGGGTTGATTTGGGATTTTTGAGGGTATGTGGTTAGGTGTATAAAAGTTTGAAATGATCATATATTTTGGGGGGTTATACTTTTTTATCATTATGTAGTAATCCTCTTTGAAGCTAGAAATATTTTTATCTTCAGATGTTTGATCTGATTTTATACAACTACTACACTAGCAACATTCTTTAGCAGGACTTCCTAAGTATATTTTTTCTATAATTTAACTCTCCATCATTCTGTTTTTATAATTTTGGTACATCACTTAAAAGTAGCAAGAGCCAAACTTTGATTTTTTCACTCAATTTGACAAATACTAAATCAGGACATGAGAGTGAGCCAGAAATGGGAGATAAAAGTCTTTTATTCTTTTAAAATACTGAAATTTAATATGATACAAACATTTGACCACAAAAAACAAGTTTGCACTGATAGCCTGGAGGTAGGTAGGGAAAAACGCTACTATATATGCCACACAGCCAAGCTGCACTCTAAATGCTATCTTTGTCCCTCTCGCACATAGGAATTCCATCTTTACTCCATAAACACACACACATTCATAGGAAAGACATATGGAAGTCTACCAGAATCACTGTGCCTTGTGCTCAGAAGGGTTTTTTGCTTCAGTGACAGAGCTCTGTTTTCCAATACAGTCTACAAGATAATCAACAGCATTTTCTAGGCTGAACCAGAAAATGGTCAGTCATTTGTTAAGGAACAAGGGTATCTCAACTGACTGGGACTTAAGCCATTGATGGCAGCACGCACTAGCATATC